CTCTCTCTCTCTCTCTCTCTCTCTCTCTCTCTCTCTCTCTCTCTCTCTCTCTCTCTCTCTCTCTCTAAACCTGGCCGCCTAGGGCGGCCCATTCGCTGCCCATGGGCAGACTGTCGGGGTTCAACCCCCTGATGAGTCGGTGAAGATCCGACGAAACAGTCTGGCGCAGTCAGTTTGCCCTTCCCCCTACTACCCTGCATGTAGCCGCCCGTAGGTGGCAAATACATTCGCCCACCCTTAGATGGGCTGCTGGGGCAACGCCCCTTGATAGTCTGTGGAAGTCCGACGAACAATCGGGCGCAGTCATATCTGCCCGTTCATCTGAAACGAACGGGTACCAAAAGAAAAAAAGAAAACAAAAAAAACAAGAACAAAATCTAAACCAAATCTAAAAAGGATATCAAGAAAAAAATCTAAGCAAAATCTAATAAAGAAGAAAATTAAAAGGAAGAACCTACCTCGATCTGAAGGGGCTGCCCAAAAAACGGGCGCCCGTTACTTTTCGTGGGGACACTAAGTCCCTGTCACTTCTCCCTGCGCCAGATGGCGCTTCGTTTTAGTTTTAGTTTAGTTTTTTTTTTTTTTTTTTTTTTCCCTTTCCGTTGGCTTATGCCAACGGTCACGTCATGTTGTGGCATAGCCACGACCTGCTGGTTGAGATCCTCCTTGGGAAAGGATAGGATCGAGCTCCTGAATCTGGACGCGTTTCAAGGAGAGATGCGGGGGAGTAGTTCAATCTCGATTCCCTGCATCTCTTTTTTTTTCTCTCTGTTAAAAAAAAACAAAAAAACAAAAAAAAAACACCATTTCTCGATCTACGCGTGTCACCCTCACCCAGGGGCCAAGCTAATCTCGGCGCGGCTGATTTCAGCCGCGCGATCTCAAAGATCACACGGCCGAAAATCGGCCGCGGCCTTCCTCACACTATGGGCTGCTCCAAAAGAAGCTAGCCCGGTAGTGCAGTTAGTCAAGTTCGATCCCCATGTCTACGGGGTGATAATCTGGCGACGGTACCTACTGGGCTAGCTCCTTTTCACATCAAGAAAGGGGCTGCCCTTCTATATGAAGGGTTTCCGATGCCCAGCAGGCCCCCCTCCGACGCCTAGCAGGTTGTGCCAGCTAAGCCGGCTTGCTGTCGTGGCTGGCAGGCGGGGTCGACGGCCGACAGCCTTATCGACTGCCCTACCCACCCGGCCCCGACACCTTCAACCTCGGTCATCGGCGCAAAAGCCCTGTGGACCCTATACCGTTCCTTCACGCCGCGGTCCATCCTTACCGCTGCGACCCCTTTCTAGCCCACTTAGGCTCTGAATCGCGCGGCTTAACAGCCGCGCGACCTTATTATAGGTAGGGTAGGCTCAACTTTAGTTTCCCCACGACCGCACACTACTGCGGCCTCGTCGAGACCCGCGGATGACAGTGCCGACTACCGCTATCCCGCGAGGACGTCGATGCCGCCCTGCGTCAACGACGTCAGGTTCTAAAAAGGTTTAGGTCTCTCAGTCATAGCGTTGGTCCGAGTAAACTTTGGCAACGCCAATCTCATCAAGTCGTCCAATTTAGTGAATAGGTCAGACGACGTCCGACGTTGAAAAACATGGGCAGATACCCTTGTCAGCCCTTGTCAGGGTTTCTGCCCCGACAGCGCGATATGGAGAAATGTCGCAAACCTAAAATTACAATTTTAACGACCTAATTAACCATGAAAGTGCGAGAAAAGAAAAAAGAAAAAAATGCAACT